GGGAGACCTAGGACAAAAGGGCATTTACTAGTGATTCTCAATAATAAAACAGTCATAACCCCATTATTGGAAAGTGTTTTTAAAATCACTTAATAGTGGGGAGAAACCCACTATTAATATTCTGTTGCAGTCCCTCCCTATCCCCATGCATTCACATAGGTACATGTAATTGTTTTTGGAGATCATAGTTTTGTAACTCGGCATTTTCCACTCAATATTATCATGTGAGCCTCTTCCTGTGTCATTACACACAAAAATTTAAGCCTTGCCCTGGCCAATTTGGCTCAATGATTAGAGCATTGGCCCTTGAACCACAGGGTGTTGGGTTCGATTCCAGTCAAGGGCACATGCCTGGTTGCAGGTTTGATCCCCGGTCCCGATTGGGGTTGTGTGAAAGGCATCCAATTGATGTATCTCTCCTACATTGATGTTTCTCTCTCTCTCTCTCTCTCTCTCTCTCCCTCCCTCCCTTCCACACTCTCTAAAAGATCAGTGGAAAAATATCCTCTGGCGAGGATTAACAACAACAACAAATTAAACCTCATTTTTTTCTATCTGCACAATGGTCAATATCCAGACCAAGCAAGGATTTCCATGGCTCCCTCCAGCATGCCGTCCTTGGGCACGTTGTCAGAAGCAGGTCAGAGGTGATCTAGGGTGGCATTGCTTCTGGAAACTTCATTTCCTCAAGTCAGTCATCTTTAGAGACTGATGGAACAGTACAGCCAACCCCTCCAAGCAAGGCCAGGTAGGATGGAGAAGGGAGCAAGGGCTCTTAGTTCTATCAGTTCCATTTTCCAGATGAGAAAATTGAGGCTTTAGACCCAGGCATGGAGCAGTTTTGTTGGCTTTGACTTAGGTACCGCCTGGAGTGTTTTCAGGGCATCTGGGACAGTAGCCCTGAGTGTGAGAGAGATTGTGGTGGGGTGGGTTTGCATATGATAGGTGTGTTCACAGGCTCTTGAGTTAGTTCTTTACTACCTCCCGGGACCTTTAGGTCTCTCCAGAGTCCACAAGTCCCCAGACATCAAAGCAGCAGAAACACAGTTAGCCCATGGAATCTGCAGCAGAGATGGGTGATCAAAGACCTCCCCACGTCCACGCAGAACTCAGCTTGGGCTTTATTCACAGGGTGGCAGGAGAGAGGTTCACTAATAGCAGAAGGAGGATCCAGACGGTGGAGAAACTTCCTGAGTTATTCATCCCTGACTCAGCTCTGCCATCAACCAGCGGAGGGACTGTAAGCAAGTGTCCGACTCCCTGGGCATCTGCTCTCAGCTCTTGCCCTTTAAGCAGGAAAAGGGGGGAGAGGGAGTAAGCATTTCTTGGGTACTTCCTGTGTGCCTGCCTGGCACTGCTTTTCCTGAAATTATCATCAATATCTATCTTAACCCTGTTATACATGTGCTGCATTTTTTTTCTAAATCCTCACCCAAGGATATTTTTCTATTTATCTTCAGACAGAGTGAGAGGGGAGAGAGGGAGAGAGAGAGAAACATCGACGTGAGAGACACTCATCGACTGGTTGCCTCCTGCATGACCCCAACCAGGGCTGGGGACGAACCACAACTGAGGTACGTGTCCTTGGCCGGAATCGAACCTGGGTCTCATTGGTCCGCGGGCCAACGCTCCGTTGCTGAGCCAAACCGGTCAGGGCACATGCTGCATTTTTTTAACTGCTGATTTGACAGATGAGGAAACCAAGGTTCAGAAAAGTGATGGGCCTAGGGTGGCCAGTGAGGGGCAGAGAAGGGATATGAACCCAGTTCCGAAAGCATCTCCACCTGGCAGCCACTAAACACCTGGCCAGGGCCATTGGGGATCATTGTCCTGCCTGTTTCCTTATAGGAATGGTGTTGAGAAAGGGAACCCGAGTGGAAGCTGCAGGCAGTGAGGCAGGACGGCCTCCAGGAGGCAGTGGAGAGACTAGCTGATGGCAGGGAGGTGCTGATTGTTTTAACTTCCTTCTTTATGTGGACCGTTAATCCATAGTGTTGATCTGCCTTGGTTAGTGAGTGGGAAATATTGAGGGAACCTATCTATCGAATTTTAGTGCTGGGCGGGCCTTTAGATATCACCCAGTTCAAACAAATTGTTTTAAGGAGAAAGCAGAGGCCCAGAGAGGGGAAGCAATGTACTCTAAGCCACAGAGCTGGTCTAGAGGCATATCCAAGATGTGCCCACAAGGCTCCCGACTCCCAAGGCACTCTGGGATGGGTCTCCTCCTAATGAGCTCCTGCACCATTTGAATCTGGAGCTTTTCTGGTAGCAGCCTGAGATCATGGCTTCAGATGACCCAGTGGATTCCAAAGGGTTGGTTCCACTGGCTCTGGTTGCAGATGGTGATCTTTGTGATAAGACACCAGACCTCACTTGCTGTGGTGTGACTGGAAACTGACATGAGTTAGAGCCAAGGTCGTGGGCATTTTTTGTGGCCCCGGGCTGACCCTTTGTTCTTAGTTGCAGATAACAGAATCCCTTTTAACTAATTCAAGCAGAAGGGGATTTATCAAGAGTACAAACTAGCTCAGAATCGTTGGAAAGACAGAAGACAGACACCAGGCAGGGCTTCCAGAAATGCCTCCCCGAGTTACATTGTGAAATGAGGCCACCATGAAAGCTGCTGCCTCCGATATAATCATGAAAGCGCTGCCACCACTAGTTTCCAAGAGCCATGCCACCTTTGCCACGTTCCGCACCAGCAAAGCCGTGCTTGAGCCTTGTCATTCTTCTCCAGTGACAGTCCCATGCAAGTGCTTCTGATTGGTTGAACCTAAACTTCGTCCAGAACCCTAGCTGCAAGGTAGTCTGGGAAATGTAGTTCTTTGCTCTCCTGCCTCTGCAGTACTGAAGGTACAGAGATAACAAAGACAGAGCTGCCATGCTCACACAATGGAAGGAGAAAGGGACTATTTTAATACAAAGTTATTTGTTCTAATTAAATGACAGTGTACAGAGGGACCCTGGAAGTGAGGGTTGGGAACATTGGAAGTGGGAGCATTTGAACCGTGTTCTGAATGATCAAACTGAGTTTGCCAGGCATCAACAACACAGGAAGGAATTCAGAAACACCAAGGAAACAGAGAAAAAGTAATATGTTGAGGATCCCCAAGGCCTAATTCTCATGAACTCGGCCTCCATTCTTCTATGACACGAGAACAAGGAGCCGACTTATTTTGTAAATAGGAGCCAATTTGTTGTATAACATGTTTTAAAATATTATTTTAAATTACTTAAATATATATGTATAGTACTTTTAAATGAACTATTGTTATAATTACTAAGAACATATTATGAGTATAATATTTTAAAATATTAACTACACAATTATATTTAAAAGTTTTAAAAACACAAATATTTTGTTCTAACCTTTTAAATTACTTAAATATATAGTTATACTTTTAAAATAATTATTAAATTTTAGTAACATTAAAAATAAATATTTATAAACAGAATACTTTAAAAAGTATTAAATATGAAATTAAAAGTTGTTCAGCATACACTTATTTTTAACAGAGGCCGATTTATTGGGTAAGATGATTTAGCATCTCTAAAGCATCTCGTACATAAGTTTGCACATGTAAGTTAGACTCCTGAGGACACGTGCAGTGACTGCTGGCACCCTTGGGGAGGTTCCGAGGAATGTCTTTATTTTAAATCCTCACTCGTGGGTTGCAGGGCCCAGGGGCAGCCTAGGGGCGCCTCCACTACTTCTGATTCTCCAGGGTGTGAGGCCACTGACTCTCCATTTAGAGAGTCCAGTCTCCCAGCTTAATCTGTCCAGTCTCTTCTGAACAACCTCTAGACAGAGGCCACGAGGAGAGGGAGCACCTGGCTTCTGCCCTGGGCCCCACCCTGCCTTCTTCATTGGGCCCAGCAATGAACTACTGTGTTTTATATCCCCCCACAACTCATCGCCCACTCCCACCCCTAATCGGGCGATGCTCTTCCTTCCCGGGCGTGAGAAGAGGAGGCCTTGAAGGTCTTCTCACCCAGTGGCTGTGGGACAACAGCTGTCCTTGCAGGTGAGTGGACAAGAGCAGCCCGAGTCAACGTACAGGGTCGTGTTGCAGCTCTGCCACCTGCTCTCTACACGACTCTGGGCAAGTGAGTTCACTCCCAGAGCCCGTTCTGATGCTTCTGACGACCACTTGCCTCATAGGCTAGTTGTAAAGGTCACATGGATGCCTCCGTGTCGGGTGCTGGGCCCAGCAAGCATTGGTTGCAGTTGGACTTGTTATTCTGCTTGAAGCTGCCGAAGGGGCCCTCGGGTGACTCTGACATGCCTGGAGCCAGCTGGTGTTGGAAGGGCTTGAGCTCCTCTGCAGTGGGATCCAGACCAAGCCCAGCCCTGACCTACACTGACAGTGGGAGCTGGAACTCCATCTGTTGAGCCTCAATTTCCCCAGCTGCCGAATGGGGAGAAAGAAGTGCCAGTCTCACGGAGTCACAATGTGAGCGTGAGAATCAAGTGAGCTCATGGAAATGCCTGTGCAGGGGGAAGAGCGGTGGGTCTCAGCTATGCGGTGGCTGTCGTGACACTTCCCCAGGAGGAGGAGAAGGGGCAGGAGAGGGCAGGACGGGCTGAAGGCAGCCTGGCCGCCTGACCCCAGGGCCGCCTCCTTCACTGAGCGGTCACAGGAAGAGCCAGAGCAGGACCGTGCGGAGCACCCTCCTCCCTTTCTTCTTCGCAGCCACCGACTTGGAACCAAACCTGCTTCTGAACGTCATGATTTGCCGACATGGGGTCATGTTCCCATAACCGCTTACACTGCCAGGGTAGTGGGGTGCCGTGAGTAATCACTCACCCAGTGATCAAGCTGGAGGCCCAGTGGTCGCGGAACCTTCCACCAGGTCATCTGCTGGGTGGAGCTGGTTTGCTCTATTTATTTGACCAGGACAGACACCCCCACCTTACCAACAGGGGTCCCTGAAAATAAGGCCCCTGAAAGTCAAGCCAGCTTCTCTGCGTAATAACCTCTGTCCCTGTTGATTCCCAGGTACTTTGAATTTTACGAGGGCCCTTTAGAATATAACTCCACAAGATGTCAGGAGCTGAGGAACGAGATCTTGGAGGTGAAGGTGCTGTCCATGTGAGTGTGGCTGGGACGGTGGTGGGTGTGCGGTGCATGCGGGGGTGGGGCAGGGCCGGGGGGCAGGGCGGGGATTTGGGCAGAAGGAGACAGGATCTGCAGTGGATCCGGCAGAACAGGAATTCGGTCTACTTCCCAGAGCCCTGGCACTGGGAGCCCTGGAGGGCCTTTTGCAGCAATGATTGTGTTTTATTTTATTTTATTTTTTACCTAAGGGTTTATAAGTGTATATGCTCTCCAAGGGAGGGAGACTATGCTTTATTGTAATGAAGTGGCCAGGGACAATGGGAATGTATTGTTAGACAGTTTTTTACTCTGATTGTGTTTTATGAAAAAAACCCAGGTTTGCAAGGGCGCTGTGGTGACTTGGCTGTTCAGTCCCCAGCTCAATTACTAGTCTCCGAGATTATCATCTCCAGCTCCTCAAGTGTAGAAATAGAACAGGGCACAGGAGCATCTCACTTGAAAGTTAGTCCTTTGTGCCGAGGGTTAAGCATCACTTTTTTGTTATGGTCTTTTAAACCTTTTGCTATGAGGATTTTATTTAAATCCTCACCCAAGTATATTTTTCCATTTACCTTCAGATAGAGTGGGAGGGATGGAGGGAGGGAGGATGAGAGAGAGAGAAACATCAATGTGAGAGAGACACATCGATTGGCTGCCTCCAGCATGAACCCGACCAGGGACAAACCACAACCAAGGTACATGCCTTTGACCGGAATCGAACCTGCAATTAATTCTTTGGTCCACGGGCCGACACTCTAACTACCGAGCCAAACAAGCCAGGGCTTATTTTTTATTTAAACCATACAACATTCAAGAGGTACAAAAAGGTTTACAGCTCCCTGGTTCTCCTCAGAGGCAACCCCTGAATCCTCATGCTCCCTTCTGGAAAGTCTGTGCAAAACCCAGCACCTATGTATATATATTTTTACCTTTTTCCTTCTTGCTTTTTTTTTTTTTTAACATAAATGGCAAAAAACTGAGCTCTCTCCTCCCCACTCAGCAATATATCACCCACGGCTCTTTTACAACCTATGTGAGAAAAAGGGCATTACATGCTGAACATTTTATTTTTATTTTTATTTATCCTCACTGGAGGATATTTTTTGCATTTATTTTCAGATAGGCAGGAGGGAGAGATGGGGAAGAGAGAGAGAAACATCGATGTGAGAGAGACACTACAAGTGGTTGCCACCCACACGACCCCAACCAGGGCCAGGGACAAACCGCAACTGAGGTACATGCCCTTAGTGGGAACCGAACCCAGGACTCTCTGGTCCGCAGGCCGACGCTCTAACTGCTCAGCCAAACCAGCCAGGACTTATTTTTATTTTTTTAACTGTTTTTTTTTTTCTTTATTGATTTGAGAGAGAGAGGAAGGGAGAGGGAGAGACAGACAGAAACATTGATAAGAGAGAACACTGATTGGCCGCCTCCTGCATGCCCCCACAGGGGATGGGGCCCACAGTCTGGGCATGTGCCCGACCGAGAATCAAACCAGTGACCTCCTGGTGCATGGGTCGATGCTCAGCCACTGAGCCACACTGGCCGGGCACATGCTGAACATGTTAGCGTGTGCGTGTGCCCACCCCAGCTTTTCCTCCCTCTAGGAGTGCCGGGAATTCAGTAAACCCACTTAGAGGAATTGGTGTTGTGTTGCTCATGACAGGATGTATGTTAATTTGAAAGCAGTTATATCTGGATACAGAAGAAATGTAGTTTATTGGGGCAGACCGTGCTGGGTGTCCATGTAGACTCACAGGCCCCTGACATGACCCCTGGACTGCTGTCCGGCCCACAGACAGGAGCCATCTCCTTAGCCACTTGGCATGGTCTCCAGGTATTGTGGGTCATAAAATGAACATGGCTTTGGGGTCAGGCAGACCTGGGATCCAAAGCCAATGCTGTGCCTTACCAGCTCTGCACCTTTATATAAATGACTTAACCTCTCTGAAGCCTTTTACCTCCTAGAATGGGAACACGCCCATCTCGCTTTTAAGGGTTGCCACAGACTAGCTGAAATAACCTGCATGAGGTGGTAGCCCAGCAGTCACACACATAGGAGCACACAGTAGGTGCTCAGTAAGTGTTCCTGTGCCTTCTCTCTCTCCTTCCCTCCCCTTTCTCTCCCTCTGGAACCACCAGGAGCACCAGCAACAGCTCTCCTGGGCTGTCATTCAGACTGGAAACTGTAGCTGCAGGAAGTTTCCAAGATGAGACCAGACGTCCAGCTGGGATCAGCTGTGCTTGTGGTCTCTACGAAGCAAGGGGCATATGTGCTCTCTAGGGATAAACGTGTAGCAGTTCACCCTCTGGTCAATCCCACCCAGCCTGGGCTGAGCACACTCTGTGGTTCCTGCCCCCAGGAGCTCACAGCCCAGCGGGGGAAGGGACTGGGATAACGGACTGCCTTAGGGAGACCAGGGGGCGACGGGGAACTTGATCCGGGCTTGGGGAGGGGTTGTCAGGCAAGGCTTCTCTGAGGAGGTGACGCTGGTGCTCTGGTCTGCGGGGGACAGGAGTCAGCAGGCCAGGGGGGTTCCCGACCCAGAACGGTTTGTACGAAGGCTTGTGCCAGGAAGGAGCCCGCTGCGTCCCAGGCTGTGCAGGGCCGGCAGCTTGCATGGCAGCGTGAGAGCGGGCAACGGAAGCGGTGTTGCTAGAGGGGCAGGCAGGGGCTGGACCGCGTGAGCTGGTTTCAGATTGTATCTTTATCCGAGGGCGCTGGGGAGGGTTTTAAGCAGGTGGTGAGGGGTATGACGTGATTAATGTTTGATCTACTCCACCGAGGAGTTGGGATTTAGTGGCAAAGGTGGGTGCCCGGACCTCAGTTGGGAGCTGAATCCATAAGTTCGTGAGCAGAGAGCCTTGATCTTTTCCTAAAATTCAGAGACTCTGCCCTTCAGCACTCCCACACCGTGGAAGCCACGCGCTCTCGTGGAGAGAACACCAGAGCGTTTTCAAAGGGTCAATCACTCATTTTCAAATTCTAGAATACGGACAGTGTCTTCGTGGTTACTTCAAGGTCTGCACAGGAAGACCTGACAGGTCCCATCTATTGGCCTCCTTCTGTCACTTCCCATTTCTCTAACCACAGTCTTATATGTTGGTGTTGGTCCCTGTGCTGGTTTGCTGGGGCCCCCATCACGAGGGACCGCAGGCTGGTTGGCTCGAACACCAGAACTTCATTTTCTCAGAGTTCTGTGGGCTGGGAGTCTGAGATCAAGATGTCAGCAGGGCTGGAGTCTCTCTCTTTGGCTTTTAGATGATTGTCTTCCCTCTGGCTTCACACGGCTGTCCCTTTGTGTGACCGTGTCCACACTTCCTCTTATGAGGACATCCGTCACAGTGGATTAGGGCCCACCTGGTGATGTCATTTTAACTTAACTACCTCTTCAAAGACTATCTCCAAATGTAGTCACATTCTGAAATGTTGGGGGTTAGGGCTTTAACATGAATTTTGAGGGAGACACTACTCGGCTCATAATAGTCCCTATAGTTCCTTCCATTTAGGGACCAAATTAGAAGTCACCAGGGCCCTTTGTTCCAAGCCTGCATCACAAATGTTGGGGGAGTGTACTGGGAGCCTAATATTTCCCTATGATCTGTGCCCACCCTTGTCTCTTGCCATGATTTACGGTGGTGGCATTTGGTCCTCTGCACGTTTGGCTCTAGTTTTCACCTCTGCCTTTGGGACACCTGCTCTGAGCAACTATCCCAGCTGGTGCCCTCTGGGCCTGGCACCGCCCTGTGTCTCCATGGCAGCTGTCCTCTCTGTGGTCCGCAGGCCCTGACTGTGTGGGCACTGGTGGTACTGGGGGTCTGAGAGGAGAGGTCGGGCTGTTCATGGGGCATCAGCATGTGAGCCTGGTGGGACATCAGGGAGCAGGGAGCCTAGGGCCTCCTTTCCTGAGTCCTCCAGGGGAGGGTCAGTGGGCCCTCCAGGGCTGAGCCCAGCCACTGATCTGAGTGGTTCTGACACCACCTGGGAACCTGTGGGCTTTGCTGTGCTCCAGCCCAGAGCCGTGCGCCCTGCTTATGGTGGAGACCGTGAGTCATGGGGAAAAGGCTAAATCCTCATCTCTGAACGGAGTGGTTTGGATGGATGTGCTCCAGGGCCCTTCGGGCACAGGAATGTCAGCTGGAGTTCTGTCTGAGGAGATAGGGACATGTGTGATTCATCTGGGAACGATTCTCTCCAACGTTGCTCCTGTCCGTGGTCAGATTCAGTGAGCTGGAAAATTCCCACATGGACAATGCCTCGTTCCCTGACAATGTCAGCTGCGTGAGGAATTGCGCTACGATGATTTGTTACGAAAACGCACTGTCCCTGTACTTGTCAAAAATATTTAGGTTTGAATTTAGTCATTCTAGAGCCTCTTTATTTTTAAATCAGCTACTGCCTGTGTTCACACCCAGAGGGTCGCACCTCACCTGCCGCTCCTCCCCACCTTTCAGTGGGGACCCTCACTGAGACGGGAGAGGGGGGTCTGACCCTGCATGGGCTCAGGACGCGTCCATTAAGTGAATGAATGGATGAAAAAGTGGATGCAACCAGGGTGGAAACGTGGAGGCCATGGAAGAAAGGGGAGGAAAAAGAAGGATAATAAGATGACCATTATCATCTCATTATTAGTACAATCTCTAGCACATGGTGAGAAAAATCAAGTAGAATACGAAAGCTTATAATGATAAAAAGGGACAGTCCCTTGCCCTACACCCTCCCTCCTGCCCTGTTCCTTCCAACTCTTGACAGTTTCTGCTGGTAATCACCTCCATACTCTCAGTATTATGTGCATGCTACTGTCTCCTGACTTACCCCATTTGCACAGTGGGTGAGGATCCAGCCCCCTTACCCCACTCCCAAACCCCTCCCCTTTGTTCCAGGTTGAAGACTATTGCTATTTTCAGTTCTTCCTATCTATACATTACCAAAGTAATTTGTTTCTTATTCTACTAACTATTGGCAGTATCTCTTGATGCAGTACTTTGTGACATGAGGTTGTTAAAATTATCCCTACTTTTTAGTTCCAGCCTCTGCCTTCAGTCATCCATGAGTTTACCTGTAAAACGTCAAGGCTGGTAACATGTACATTCTGTTTGTAACCATAGCAAGCCTTTTTTGGAGTCTTCTCCATAGGTTGATTCTAAAATTTGAAGATCAAACAATAGTGATTCTATCTCCTTTCTTGTATACCTCACCCCCTTGCCCCCAATTTTTTTCCTGAAGCTTCTAGTTATCTTTTCCTCATTGAACTCTGGTCTCTGTTATACCCCACCCTCCCAGTTAACCAGGCATTCCCCCAGGGTTTCTCTTCAACCCCTGCTCCAACCTGGACAGGCTGCCCTTCTGGTAGGTCACATATCATCTTCCCAGGACTTCCTTCTCTGCCTCCTTAGGTTGGACTCACCTTGGATAACACCCAATAACTGCTTCTTTTGTGGTTTACTCCTTCATTTTGCTTCTACCCCTTTTTAAGCAAACTCCTCAAAACCATGGGTGGGAGATAAACTTTTGACTCTTTCTGTGTCTAAATTACATAATTCTTCCCTTATACTTGATGGTTGGTTTGGAGAGGCTGGTATTTTAGGTGGAAGTCATTTTCCCCTAGAATGTTGAAGACCTTGGCTGTCACCTGCCAGCATCCACGCCACATGAGCATGATACTAGTTGTTCCCCTGGAGGTGACCTGTCTTCAGATCATGACAGTCCTGGAATGTCCCCATGGTGTGCCCAGGATGCTCACTGCGACCTCTAAAACTGGGGCTCTTGTCCAAATTCTCGAACCTTCTCTTAGATTTACTTGTATTTCCTCCACTCCATTTTTCTCTGTTTCGTGCTTTTAGTACATCTGAGAGTTGTATACTGGCTTTTCTCGGCAGCTCCTCCAGCACTCGTACGTTTTCATCGCATTTCTTGCTCTCTTTGCCCTTTGCCTTTGCTTTCTGAGGAAATTTCTTGGCTTTGTCTTCTAGCTCATCTAATGAACTTTCCCCCCAGAGCCCTTTCTTTGTTTTCCGGGCAGTTTGTTCTTATTTTAAGGATGTCACGATCTCTTGAATATCTCTGTGAACACCAAGTAGAATATTTTTAAGTTCTATTCTGTCCCTCTGATAGTTCTCTCTGAGGTCTTTTTTTTTTTAAAGCAGTATTTTTACTTTATTTTACTTATTTTTGTATATAGGCACACATAGTGGTTAATATGAAAACGTTTAATTAGATATACAGGCTTATATCTTGAAGAAATTATGGCAAAGAGCAGTATAAGATAAATAATAAAAACAAAAAATAGAAGAAATAATGCCCATACTTATAACATACCAAAAAATCAAATATTTTCTTTTTTAAAATTTATTTTTCAATTACTCCCATTATTCTGTTTCCTGGTAGGCTTACACCTTTTTTATTTTTCTGGAATGTTAGTGGTATCGGGAGAGAGGAGGTAAGTGCCTGGGATTAACGCACTATCTTTAAAGATGATCTGTGCATTTGTAAAGCAATTTATAAACTGTTTTTATTAGTATTACCTTATTGGGTCTTTCCGACAACCTTTGAGATGGGCAGGGCAGAGGTTATTGTATCCATCTTACAAATAAAGCAGCTGGGTCTCAGAGGGATTACATGACTTATCCGAGGTCACATTGCAAGTTGGGAATGGAGCCAGGATTCAAGGCTGGGTGTTCACACCCCAACCTTGGTCCGGTGTGTGACAAGGACATTGGAAGCCCAGGGACTGGGGCTCCGACAATGGTGACAGCTGAACCTGGGCCCCACCTGCAGTGTTGCCATCGCTGTGCATCTGTGAGGCCCTGGCAGTGCGGGGTCTGCTCCGGGGGCTCTGTGTTGCAGGAAGTGGGGAGGGAAGCCACGTGCGAGCCAGGGTGCCACTGCAGAATGACACGGCTCCTCTGAGGTCACGTGAGCTTGAGAGACGAGAGCTGCTGTGGAGGTTTGGGAAAGCCAGAAGGAAGGGGCGGGATGAGGGGAGGGGCTTCCAGCTCTTTAAAGCTGCCAAGCAGGCCCCATAGTTAGGAGGTGCTTGAAGGGTCTGAAGCCCAAGTCCCCCTCTGCTTCCCAAATTCATGTACTCTGCTGCTATCCTATGTGGCTGTTCCTGCGATCACCCTCCCCGCACCTGTCACATCCCCTCTGTCGGCGAGGCCTGCCCTGTTTGGGAACAACTGTATATCCCTCTGCCATTAACCACAGGCAAACAGCTCTGTAGAATGAACCTGCTGTTTTGTTTGTTTGTTTATGCTTACAGTTAAGTGAGAATTTGCCTTTAGTTTTTGAATCATGGACCCCTTTGGGAAGCTGATGAAAGCTTCTGATTCTCCCCAAGATGTGCCCATAGGTGGAGAGACAAGAGATTTTGCCTGCGATTCAGAGGGCTCATGGGTTCCCTTCCAGGGGTGGGGAACGTCAGGCCCTCGGGCTGTATGAGGCCCTCAGACTCAACACCAGCTAACATCACAGCCTAATCACTGACCAAATATAGCAGGCTAGTTTTTAAGTTGATAATTTTGTATGGTCCTGAAATGATGTTAGAAATGTCCAAATGGCCCTTGGCGGAAAAAAGGTTCCCCACCCCTGCAAGCCCTTCAGTGGACCCCAGAGTAAGAACCACAGTTACAGTAGTTCTTTGATAACACCAGCCCTTGGGTGCGGGTCACTTCCCCATTCTTGAGCAAACCAGAATGACCTTTATAGGGCTGCTCTCTGTACCACGCCCAAGACCAGCCAGCTTCTGAACTGGTCCACAGCCAGGTGACCCTGAACAGCGGCGGGGGGCAGGCGCAGGGATGGGGGCCATGTGGTCAGGAGAGAGAAGTCACGGCTCTGCTTTAAAGAACTTACGGTCCATGCAGTATTTCTCAGCCTTCCTGAGAAACTCCAGTCTGATGTGCTGCTCAGTGGAAAAAGGGTTCCATGATCTAATGCTTTTTGCCAGTTTCAGTCAAAGGCAGAATCCACGTGATTTAGACATCCCCTTTCCAGAGAGCACCTCAGGGTATCACAAGCTGAGATGTTTAAAAACCGATGAGTGTAAAGCCTTGCAGATGGTTGTTCAGACAAAAGAAACACGTCTCAGGTTTCTCATCTCTTCCCTTATATCATCTGGAAACTGTGATCTGCCCTTGGAGAGGAGAGAGAGAAGGGCATGCCCTGCTATGAGCCCAACCGTGTGCTAAGCACAGTGTGAGTGATGAACAGACATTCCCCGAGGGAAGCAGTCTCTCACCCTCTACAGACAGATGTTCCTGGGACATCAGGCGGGTCCTTGGGGGTGGGCACGGGAGGAAGAATGTTTTAAAATGCACCCTGGGTTTGTTTTAATCAGGTATGGTAAGACACATAGACACAGAAATGATATTGTGAAGGAAGAAGTTCTTATGCCCCCAGATCCGTAGAAACAGGAGGCACAGTGTGCCATGCGGCCACACGGGAAGCACCAGGGTCAGTAGGAGGCAGAAGGGATGAGGGGAAACCTGGGGTAGAGCCGTCACGTGGTTCTCACAGGAAGGAACGGGCGAGGTGGGGTAGACAGGTTTAGGCTTGGCTAGTTGGAATGATTCTGGTGGGCTCTGCAGCATAGGGACTGCCCCTCGTGGTCTGACATGTGGCCCTGGAATGATTAGGGCAGTGAGCTCATGGCTGGGTTGCTAGAGGAGGGGGTTGCAGGTGCGGGCTCTGATTGGTCGGTGTGCATATGAAAGGTGTGCTTGTAGGAGGGTGTTTCTTTTTCTTTGCCATCTCTAGGAATTAGCACGGTCCCCAGTGCCAGGGCATCAAGAATAGAGAAAATAAGAAAATGCAGTTAATACAAAGGACCAGCCCAGGATTCAGCAGACAGGGGGCAGAAAGGGAGCATGTTTGGGAATGACGACACTTGGTCTAGCCTGGCCCTTTCACGGACTCTCCTGTCTTCTACTCCCCAAGGGTGAAGCAGTCGGAGCTGTTCGACAGGTGGAGGAGCCTGCAGATGTGCAAGTGGGCGATGAACATCTCTGAAGCCAACCAGTTCAAGTACCTATGCCTCGTCGGTCCTGCCCCGGGGTTCTCTCCCTGCCACCTCCGCAGATCCTCTTTGTCCTGCAAGGCCCAGCCCCAGGGCGTCTGCCTGGAGCTGGCCCTGAGGGCCCTTTGGCGTCCGGGCAGTGGGGAGGTTCTGGCAGGCTGAGGCAGGCACCTGCTGGGTGCTGTCCTCCTCACTCTCACCCCTGCAGCAGCCCTGCAAGGTCAGTGGTGTCATCTCCAGTAAAACCGAGGTTGACTGAGACTCGTAAAGGCGAAGCAGTTGCAGGAGGGCCCCAGCAGGCCTGTGTGTGAAGGCGCATTAAGCACCTTCCACAGCCTCGCTCCGTTTCCAGCCTCACTCCTGGGGCAGCTGCTCCAACCCGGCAGCCCCTCCCTTTCCAAGCTCTTGTAGCCTATACTGGACATTCAATTGCTGCTGCAGATTATTTTCTCATTGCTCTCTAACCATTATTGACAGATCATAAGCTCCCAGAGAGATACAAGCTGTGTCTTAAAGTTTTCCAGTCTTTGAGAGCTAAGCAGCTAAGAAAGTCCAAACATTCTTTTTGATTAATGGTTAACCGTAGGGATCCTTTCCACCTTTAAAATCTGTGAGTTTATGGTAGTACCTTAGAGCAGGTAGAACTTCTTAAATAGTGTTGATAGGATTGTGGAAATGGGTGTAGAAACTGCATTTCGGCAACTCGGGTCGTAGTTTAAACATTCTGAGGGGCCATCAGGATGGAGGGATCCTACACGGGAGGCTGAGCAAAGCAAATAACACTAAGTATTTTGTATTTGCTTTCTAAGACATTTGTTCCTGTTTGCTGCAATTCCAGGTCATCTAGAGACTGAGTAGTAGTTTAGGTGACATGTTTTCAGAAATGTGGATGTTGAAAGTGATCACACTTGAAAAGCAGGTGCCCGCAGCCCTGCACCAGAGGCTTCTGTGAGACTGCAGAACCCAGCTGAGGCCTGACCGTCGGTTGCAGAGATCCGCCTATTGTAGAAGTAGAGCATGAACTTGAGCCAGTTACAGGAAGAAGGGGAAGCAGGTCCAAGGTCTAGGCTGTAAGTGCTGTCCCAAGCCCACGCCTTAGAAAGAAGTGTTGCTGTGGGCACTACACAGGCAGATGCCCCGCCCCTCAGGGCGGGTGAGGCCCGGGAGCAATGAGGGAGTGGCAGGATGAGGCCAGGGAGATGCAAAAGGATGCTGTCCAGGCTGAGAGTGGCAGAAGCCTTATCAGTGGGATTCACAATTTAAGGAATAACAACAACAATAACAATAAACAACAGGAAGATAATGTGGCAGGAGAAAAACAGAGCGTAGCATAAGGTCCTTTGGCTGGGATCAGCCAGCAGTTTCCAGGGGAAAGACTCTGGGGGAGCTGAGACCCTTCTGGGTGGGGGTGGGGGAGTGGTTTCGGGTGTGGGAAAGGGAGGTGACATCAGGTCTGGCCATGCTCTAAAAGGAAAAACCTTCAAGGTCAGACATTACTTCTCTTTGCTCTTATTATAAGCTCATGGAACAATAATGAGATTCTCAATTCAGGTTCATAGGAATCTGGCTCAGTGAAGTGGGGTGGGGTGGGGAGAATGTGGTAGAAGACAGGCATGAGCATTCCAGTTACAGGAAAGGAATCCTGTAACAGAGGCCTTCCCTTACCCCACTGCTTACAAAGCAGATACATTGGCATTCTGGGTTATACATCAGGCACTCATGAGTTTGGTTAGTTTAAGTCAGTCTCCTGCAATGGGGTACTCTGCAGTGGGCTGACAAGATCGAGTTTCCGGACCAACAAAGATAAACGGACCAGATGCTGATTTGTCACGCTGACCCGTGGTCCCTGCCTGGCCAGTCCTCTGGTCTTCCCTGAGGGAAGCCTCAGTCACATTCTGAAACCCAATCCTCCATAGGAAAGAATGTTCTCCATAACCAGCAGCCAGCTGAACTCCCCAGTAAAGTCCCAAAGAGATAAAGTCATAAAAAAGTATTTGCATAACCTTCCTGGCTTTCGCAACCTGGCGTCACAGAATTAGAGGGTCAGAAGAGCCAGCCCTGTATCCTACAGATAAGAAAACCGAGGCCCAGCGAGGGGAAGAAACCTGTCTGAAGCCCAACAGCTGATGAGGACAGAGCAGAAACTAGAACCCACGTTGGCAAGCCAAGTTTCCATCCGGGGCCTTGGGTGCGAAAGCTCCTCCTCAAGTTTAGTTGATGGTCATCAGCCAGGCTCCACGGAGAAGGTGTTTGTTCCTCCCGTGGCTGCCTGAACACCGGATGTGACTGTGCCTGGTCCCAGTGTCAGGGGAAGAAGGCCAAGGTGTCCTCAGCCCACTGCTGCTGTTTTAGGAGAAAGCGTGTCCTCGTGGGCCTGAAGTCCTCAGTGTGCGTGGACAGCAACTTGCCTCTTTGGTCAAGCTCAGCCCCTCTGCAGCCAGGGCAGGGGGAGCAAGATATGCCCAGGATTTGACCCCATCACCAGGCCTGGGAGAAGGTACAGCCAGTGGAATGCCAGCCGCAGAGAAGAGAACAAACAGCTTCTCTGCTGGCTGACTCCCAAGCTGGCCTCATCAGCCACATTCTCCCTTGGAGGGTGTTTGTTTTAAGCCTGCTTGTCTCATCTCAGTGCTAACCCTTTCGAGAGCTCATATTTGAATGTTTTTGTGAGTGAGAACCACAGGGTTCTTCTTCTTCTTTTAAAACTAAATAATGAACTCCTGAGAACTTGTTTTGGCAGCCAGGTTCCATTTTCTGCAGGAAGTCAGCGAGTGCCAACCCACCACTGCAGATTTCTGACCCTCCCCTATTCCCAAAGCAGTTTCTAAATGATTGAAATAGCACATCTCTGTTGACTGTGTGTCTCTTGGCTTTCTGACCCCATCATACAGGTTACACACCTTGTCTGGAGTCTGATATGGGGGCCAATAACCTAAGGAAGAGCTCCGCATCCCTGGGTTTCCATTAGGGCTCAGTTTCCGTGTCCTTTAGCCTGCTTCCGGGAAGTAGCAGAATGCCTCGCAGATCTTGATGAATGTTCAAAGGAGGAATGATTTATGCGCCTTGGTTGGCAAACGCCTGTGTGACTGACAGGCAGGATCCGGAGAGGCAAGGTCCCTGCCATCCAGGGGCTTTCATTCAAGTGGGGAGGCAGTTGGCAAATGATGAAGTGGGCGGGACCCTGCAGAGCCAGTGTGGTCAGTGGGGACAGGGCGACAGAGTAGCCTGGCTCCCATCTGAGAGGTGCAGGCACTGGGAAGAGTACTGAAGGGGGAGGGGACAGCATGAGCAGAGGTGTGGGGTGGGAAGGGGTAGATGGGAGCAAACGGTGCTCCCTGGTCTCCCCCAGGGCCTCAGTTTCATGACGCTCCTGTTCCTCAAGAGGCTCTGCTTTGTCCTGTGTCATCAGTCTCTCCCGCCTGTCTCCTGCCTGGCAGGTCCACTCTGTCCAGGTGCTGCAATGCCCCCTCCTTCCTCTTCACCACCCAGAAGAACACGCCCCTGGGGACGAAGCTCAAGTATGAGGTGGACTCCAGCGGCATCTACCACATCAACCAGGAGATCTTCCGCATGTTTCCCAAGGTGCTGCTCTGGGCGGGGTAGTCTGGGTGGGGCGGTGGAGTCAGTCCAGCCTGGCCCTCTGTGGCCAAGCCCATGCGGTTGGGCACTACTCCGCTGTGCCCTCTGCACACAGTGGTCCTGGCCCTGCTTGGCCTTAGGCTCCGTAGAATGTCTTCTGGGATTCCTGGCGGCTTCTCTCTGGCACAGTGAATGCCAACTGGCTATTATTTGGGTGACTTTTGGCAAGAAGGTGGTTGTAAATTTGGGTTGTTGCATGGCTTGTAGAGGACATCCTGAAGGTAGGCACTTGTCCCCCACTCGAGGGAGGCACAAGAGCAAAAACATCCATGCAAGGGTTGTGTGTGCACAAGAAATCACCAGCCAACACACAGCACAGCGTTGGAAGAGCTGTCTGGTGTTGGATGACCCTTCGGAAGTCGTTTAGTTTTTCAAAGTTTCAGTCTGCCTGTCTGAAACATTGGGGTTTTGACCAGGAATAGGTTCGGCTGCTTATAACAGCAAATCTAAAATATCAGAGACTTAAAGAAGATAGGCATTTATTTTTTCATTCCAATACAAGAGATCTGGAGGTAGCCGTTCATCCAGGGCCAGCACGGTGGCTCCCTGGGGACCACAGAATGAGTGACCTATGCAAGCGAACTGCTCAGATCATGGAAGCTTAGGTACGTGCCCCCTCTTCTGGCCTGCTTGCTGCGTCAGACTCTCAGAGAAAGGGCCCAAGCCTGCATTTTCAGCGGATTCTGACGGTTACCATCGAAAGAGGAGGAAGGTTCCGTGGGACATGTCACTACCACCTCCTGGAGAGTGCCATGCTCAGGGCAGAACTTCATGGGTCTAGTTTATAGAAATACTGATTTGGGGCATGTTCAGGTCTTTCTGGATGAAATCTGAGGGCCTGGGCTGCTCTGTTTCTCGGGGGGAATGCCGATGAAACAAAGCTCAGGGTTTCCCTGCATTGTCACTCACAGCGGAGTGTCCTGGTAAGATTGGTCATTGTGGGTAACCCAGAGGAGCTGGAGGTGTCAAACATACTCTCTTACATCACAGTGCTGGATGGAGGACGGGGGTGTGAGCCGTCCTGACGGTGTGGGTCTTGCAAGGCCTGGAGCTCGAGGTTGACAGCAGGTGAACTTGCACCTCGTGCAGGTAATGCCAGTGGGTGACACGCAGCTTGGTTATGACATATGGGCCCAAGGAGGGCCATGGGTATGGACCGCTGAGGCCCCGGGGATGAGAGTCTGGATTGCCGAGTGTTCTTCGGAAAGGGCCAGAAAGGAAATGTTTCCGGTTCTGCAGGCTCCGTGGTCTGTTATGACTACTCACTTTTGTGGTTCTTGCACAGAGTAGCCATCGATGTGAGTGAACAAGAGAGTGCGCCCAGCATGCTGCAGCTCCTCCTAGACGCTGACGTTTGCTTATACAGTTTTTACGTCTCACAAGCTATTTTTCTCTAGATTTTTCTCCAACTGTTACAAAATATAAAATCCATTTTTAGCTTGCGGGCTGTGCAGAAGTAGGTAATGGGTCAGATGTGGTCGTGGGCCGTGATTTATGACCCCCTGAACTAGAGCATGTGGTGGAGAAATATTTCCTGAATGTCCCCCATTTCTCTTTGAGTTTGTAAAAAATAGAGCTTCTTGGTCTCCTGCCCCCACCCTGAAGATTCCGATTCTATGACAGGAGCTCATGTTTTCAGAAAGTCCCTCCCCACAGGTAGTTTTTGATTTACAGAAGTTTGGGAAACACTGACATAGAACATAAAAAGCCTTGTCCAGCCGGTGTGGCTCAGTGGGTTGAGCGTCATCCTATGGACTGAGAGTTCCTGGTTCAATTCCTGGTCAGGGCACATGCCCAGGTTGTGGGCTTGATCCCCATGGGGGGCGTGCAGGAGGCAGCCCATCAATGTTCTCTCTCACATTGATGTTTCTCTCTCTCTCTCCCTTCCTCTCTCTCTAAAAAATCAATAAAAACATATTTAAAAAAACAAACAAACATAAAAAGCCTTCAATGGTCTCTCCAAAGATGACTTGGTGTTTTCTGATAAAAATCAAACGGTGTAGTTTCCCACCCTGGTCGTGGGACGCCCTGGTTCCCTCATCTTGGCCCTCTGGGCCTGTCCCTCCAGGGAAAATGGGCCACAAGAAAGGACAAGCTCCCACAGCCGCTGCTGCATCTCTTGGGTTGGTCTCATTCCCGATGATCATGTTGTAGTGTGATTTTCCACCATCCTGCCTGGAAATTGGTCCCAACGGAAGCCCAAGGTGCTGACGGGGCCGTGCTCCTGCAGAGCTGCCAGCTGGTGCATGCTGGGAGGACAGCTGCCCAGCAGCCTCCTGGTGTCAGAGAATGACGAGACCTTTGGGACCATCCAACCTGGTCCCCTTGCTGAGACCCTCAGGGCCGGGCTCTGCACTGAGTAGGTTTTTCATTGACACCAGTGGTTCTCAAGTGGGGGATGATTAGGGGATTTGGCAATGCCTGGAGATATTTCTGGTTGACTACAGGCTACTCTTGGCATCTAGTGGGGCGAGGCTAGGGATGCTGCAGTGCACAGGTGAGCCCCACAATAAGGAATATCAATAGTGCCAAGGTGAGAAACTGCTTTACATCATATGGAGTGGCATAGAACACACATCACCATCCTAATTCCACAAATTACAACATTTTAATGTATGACACATTTTATAAAATTTACAAAACCGAGTCACTGAGAGCTCAAGAAACGTGTCCATGGTTCCCTCACCTCATTATGGGGCAAAACCAAGATTGAACTTGGGACTTATGACTCGGGGGCCCAATCCTGGTTTGCCCAGACTTTCCCAGTTTGACCAAATGTAAGTTCTGCATCCTGGGCAATGTCTGCCAGTCCTGGGCAGCTGGGATGTTTGCTCACCCTACCCTTGACTCCAGGTCTGTGACCTGCCCTGTGCCTGACCAGTGACCCCTGTCTCAGGTGGCCCACAAGGGAATTATGGCCTCGAGTGGGGACATGACAGAAGCAGGTCTCCTAAGTCTCAGGCCAGTATTTGCTTTTTCCTGCCACTTTGCCTGTGGTCCCCTGGAAAGCATGCCCAGGGAGCTTTGTGGGCAGCCAGTATCCAGACCAAGGTAAACCCCTCCCCCCACCCAGTGGAGGTACAAGGTCAAAGCGCTGTGAGATGCTCACTCCCAGTGCTCCTGTGAATGTCGTCACTACTCAGGGTAAGTCCTAGGCTCCCCTGTGCTCAGAGCTCTTTCTTTGCAGAGACCCTGGGTGTCCTAGCCTCTTACTGTTCCCCTGACGTGGCCTTGCTTGCTCAACCCCAGTCTCTTGTCCCTGCAGCTGCCAAGTCCTAGAATCTGTCCCAGTCTATACGACCGCTCTGTCCCAGGACTTGTCCTCCTCGTGAAGCAGAGGGAGGCTCTGCACCTTGTCCTGAGCTGAAAGGGGTGAGGTTTCGGGCTCTGGCCCCAGGGTGGCCCTGCCCTCACCTCTGCTGCCATCATCCCCAGCACATCTGCATTCATCACGAAACTACGTATACGAGCAGACATAAAGAGCCGAGCTCCAAACGTGGGGCAAACCAAAGGCGAGCAGGGCTTGCTATGAGCTGTCCTCTCTTCACTCTGGAAACCTGGAGCATCGCAGGGCTTATTGAAAAAGGCTCTGGAGACCAGGCTGCCAGTCCCAGCTCATTAGTAATTGCCAGTGGAACTGAGAACACATCTTTTGACCTCTTTTCTCATCTGCAAAGTGGAATAACCACCTTTCTCTAATGTTCCCTACAAAGCTGACTCATGGGACCATGAGGAGTTGAGGTGGACTTGGGTATGGAGGTGAGAGCACCCAGTGAAGGCTGTGACCCCCTCTCCCCAGGACATGCCCTACTACCGGTCGCAGTTTAAGAAGTGTGCAGTGGTGGGCAACGGAGGCATCCTCAAGAACAGCCGCTGCGGGAGGGAGATCAACAGCGCCGACTTTGTCTTCCGGTAAAAGGATCACTCTGTCTGCACCTGCCACTTCTGCCCACAGCCCCTTCGTGCCCTCCCTTGTGCTGCCCTTTACATGATCAGTCCCCTGCTCTCCACCCCTTAGACCCTCCTGCTCTGGATTGTCCCTTCTCCTCTCCAGTGCTGTTCCTTTGGGCACGTGTTCCAACCTCTCAGGTCCTCAGTCTCCACATCTGCATAATGGAAGCAAATGGCGTAACAGATGTGAAGCTACTGAGGACTCACTGGGGCCCCGTGTAGATTGTTGGTGAGGCCATCTGGGCGGCCACCTTCCTGGTTGGGTTCTACTCTTCCGGAAGCAGAGCTTGGAACCAGGGTAGCCTTGTAGCTGACACCAATTTGAACTTGACCCTAGTTTGGCCTAAGCTAGAGACTGGTCCTTGTATTTTTCTTCCTTATGTAGAGCCCCCTCTTATCTCTGGGGATCCCCACTTACATCTTCAGTTCGGATAAAGAAGATGGGTTGAAAATAAGAGCGTAAAGCAATGAGACGTGGGCTGAGGCTGCACTGGGCTCTCATGGGTGGCAGAGTCAGTTATTGGGCTGTTCAGGGTTGGTGGGGGAAGTGGTTGAGTTGGGTCCTCCATGCCCAGAAACAAAGATTCGACCTAGCTGGCCACCTCCACATCCTTCTCTCACGCGACTACCGTCCCTTCCTCCCCCTTGCCCGTGCCCACTCCCCAGCCCCATCTGAAGTGACTGACCACATGCCATCGGGCGTCCTCCTCTCTTCTACAGGTGCAACCTACCCCCCATCTCAGAGAAGTACACCGTGGATGTGGGGGTGAAGACGGACGTGGTCACTGTGAACCCCAGCATCATCACAGAGAGGTCAGTAGCCCTCTTTCCAGACCTGTGCTGTCCCATACGGTAGCCACGAGTCACATGTGGCAACTGGGCACTGCAGTGTGGCCAGACTAGGCTGAGATGTGCTAACAGTAAGTATAAAACACATGCCCGACTTCCAAGATGTAATATGAAAAAGAGGGTGGACCCTATCTCATGACCTTTTTCTATTGAGTATGTGTTGAAATGATAGCATTTTGAGTATATCAGGTTAAATAAAATATGTTATAAAAATTAATTGCACCCATTTTTCTACTTATTTAAATGTGCTTACTAGAACATTTAAAATGCTATTTGTGGCCTGCATTCATTTCTTTCGGACAGTGCTGGTCTCCACTGTCCTCACCTAGCAGTGGGTCAGACAGTTCCCAGTGTGTGATGGGGAGGGCAGCTCCTATCCAGCGCACCCAGGCAACCCCAGGAGAAGCCTCCTGCAAAGACCTCAACCCCCTGCCTGGCTCCCTCCTGGGATCTGTCTGTCTGGGAGGCCTGGGGGAGGGGGTTAATGTGTTAACACTCCAACTCCAGCATAGTCACTGGCCATCCAGGTGAGGTGAAGGGTAAGAGGAGGGGGAGATATTAAATGGGGTCAGAGGCCCAGAAACACAGACAGCAGAGCGAAGTTAGGCAGGTGTGAGATGAGCCAACCCTGAGGACTGTTTCATGTTAGGGAAAGGGCTTGCTGGGGTGGGGGTGGGGCAGAGGCCAAGAGGACAGGCAGCGGGTCTGGTATCCATCGGGGATCTTAGGGAAGATGGTCCAGGTGATTCCCGAGGGCTCTCGGGAAAGCGTCCAGGCCAGCCTCATCCATTTGAGTTCAGCAGCGCCCTCCCCTTGCAGCCACACACCACGGAGTCGTGCCGTTGGGCTCAGGCTCTCCTCTCCTGCACCCACTTACAGAAATATAACGGTCCCCAGGGAAGGCTAGACATCCATTTGCTGAGATGAAAAGACGCAAGGATGGCCTGGGAGACCTCTCTATCCTTTGAAAAAGACCCAGGGTGCAGGGGTGGGGAGGCCAGGGCCCGGGCCCCGGGAGTGGGTGCTGACCCCTCCTCTGCGCCCCGGCCCAGGTTCCACAAGCTGGAGAAGTGGCGGCGGCCCTTCTACCGCGTGCTGCAGGTCTACGAGAACGCGTCGGTGCTGCTGCCGGCCTTCTACAACACGCGCAACACCGACGTGTCCATCCGCGTCAAGTACGTGCTGGACGACTTCCAGTCGCAGCAGGCCGTCTACTACTTCCACCCGCAGTACCTGGTCAACGTGTCGCGCTACTGGCTCAGCCTGGGCGTGCGAGCCAAGCGCATCAGCACCGGCCTCATCCTGGCCACCGCGGCGCTGGAGCTCTGTGAGGAGGTGCACCTGTTCGGCTTCTGGGCCTTCCCCATGAACCCTTCGGGCCTCTACATCACTCATCACTACTACGACAACGTCAAGCCCCGCCCGGGCTTTCACGCCATGCCCTCCGAGATCTTCAACTTCCTGCACCTGCACAGCCGAGGCGTCCTCCGCGTGCACACGGGCACCTGCAGCTGCTGCTGAGGGCACGCTGGCTGCCCGCCCGCCCCCCGGAACCTTGCACCTCCTTTCCCTCCGTGCCGGGCAGGGCACCGTGAAGGCCTGGCTGACAGGCTGTCACTCCCTCAGTGGTTCAGCTTCATGCTTGGGACCTGTGGGCCCAGAGGCAGGGGTGGGGTTCAGGGCAGAGTCAGCTCCGCGCTGGGCACGCTGGGTCTCAGGCTGGGCCCTGTGTCTCTGCCCTGCCTACGGTGGCATGCTGCTGGGTCACACCTCAACGTCCTGGCCCTGGGGATTGCAAGTGAATAAAGCACATTTCCACTCAATTTTATTAGTTTTTTTAATCCTCACCTGAGGATATTTTTCTATTTTATCTTCAGATAGAGTGGGAGGGAGGGAAAGAGAGAGAGAGAGACAGAGAAAATTGACATGAGAGGGACACATCGACTGGTCGCCTCCCATCAGACCCCCGACCAGGACCAGGGATGAACCGCAACCAAGATACCTGCCCTTGACCAGAATCGAACCCGAGACTCTTTGGTCCGTGGGCCAGCACTCTAACCGCTGAGCCAAACTGGCCAGGGCTCCACTCAATTTTAGCATCTTAGAAAGGGAGCACAAGCGGCCGCAGCCTTGTCACAGCTAAAGGAAGGCCCTACGGAGAGCAGAAAAGAGGGGGACTGGAGACCAGATTCGTGAGTACAGCAAGATTTAATTCAGACTTTTTGGTTCCTGAGTTTTATTCCAAGGCCTCAGCCCTGATTTACTGTCGAGAACCTCAGAGTTCAGAAGCCAGCTGAGCTGCCAGACCTTCCTGTGAAGACAGAGTGGTTCAGAGAGGTCCAAAGACTTATCAGCCAAGGTTACACCAGCTGACCGAGTCCAGGAAGTGACCCGTGAGAGCTAAGGCAAGGCCTGCGTGTTAGGCTTTCGCAGAGACACCGTCAGTTCAAACACACACACACACACACACACACACACACACACAGGTTCAATCCTGCATTTGATCTTTTGATGAGAAGGAAATAAACCAGACCAGCCATCTGCACTCAAGTTTTAAGCCACTGTTATCGCCTCATAAGTGCCCAGTGGTTTGCTTCCTCCCCTGGCTCCTTATTTTCAGCTCTGTTTTGACCAGGTGTTATTTATAAGATTCCTTCTTCTTTACGTTCCTGAATCCTGCAGATCCCTGCTACACTGCCTTGCGAACAGGAACCGTAGGCTCCAGGCTGAAGCAAGTAACTGGTGAGCTTATGGTCACGGCCTCTGACACCAGCGCCGCTGAGGGAGCTACTGTACAGGCGGGACTTCCCACGAGCCGCAGCCTGGCAGCCCTCACGCACGTGGGCCCACAGGGCCTGCGCTTTGGGACGTTAGCTGTGTCTAGGCCGGAAGGGGTCACATGCCATTTCACATCTGGAATTCCTTCCCTTTGCTTCCCCCCGGGTTGTTTCCACCGTGAATGTGGCCATGCCTGATAAATTGCCTTAGAACTTAGCTTTGTGGAATCAGAGAATGTTAGTCCTGGGGGGACTTCAGTCCCCTTTCCCCCTCCCTCCCTCCCTCCCTCCTTTCCTTCTTCCTTTCTACCCTTCCTCCTGTAAACATTTCCATAGTCTGTTTCACTTTGATCTGGGTTTGGGCTTGGACATGATGACAAATACGGACACGCCTTGTTTTAGTACACTTCACAGATGTTGCGTTTTTTACACATTGAAGGCAAGGTCCTCCACCAGAAAAAGATTATGGCTCACTTTTATTGCAGTGGTCTGGAACCAAACCCGCAGTATCTGAGTTATGCCTTTATAGGTGGTATCTCTGTCTTCCAGGGCTGGAAGGCAGACCATAAGCAAATTCCAGCCCCACATGCTGGTGCTCGGAGGAGAAGGAGGAGGAGGAGGAGGAGGAGGAGGAGGAGGATCTGTGAGAGCACAGCAGGGAGCAGGACCTTTCATGTGATCCCTTCATTTTACAGGCAAAGCAACAGGCCCAGCCCGAGAGAGACAGAGGAGAGCGCAGGTGCAGTCCTGGGCCTCAGGCTTACGATCCAGGGCTCTCTTCATCTTGGCTTGTGCTTCTTGTTGGTGGGTCGTTACGGAGTTATGTTCCATGCACAATGCTGTTCTAGATGCTGACCTTCCACCTTTGTTCTGAGTTCTGAAAAAACTTCAGGCTGCTCTGAGCCTCAGTCTGCTTTTCTGCACAGCAGGGAAGCAGCCAAGGAGGTAAGGTAGGTCCAAGTCCTTGGTAAACGAGGAAAACCTGCCCAAGGACAGTGTGTGGCTATGCCTTTTAGGTTCTGCCCATGTCTCCCAAGGAAGGAGCTTCTGGGCAAGATTCTGGTTAACTGAGGTTTCCAGCCACTTGTTTGTAGTTAACTGAGTCCAGTTCTTAAAACCATGGATGTCAGAACTGGAAGGTTCTTATAGACCATTACGTCCCACGTAGAGGAAACAGGCCCAGATGGGGAGGCGATCTGGGTCAAGTCATTCCTGGGGCTCTACCGAGTGCCTGCTGTGGACAGACCCTCCCCCGGAGGCATGTTCCAGCTGGGGCAGTGTTTGGGAGCTGGAGCCTTGGAGAGTCACACAAGTCCTCACACCGAGAGCACGGTGGGCTGGTGTCTGCCCAGCAGGGGCCCTTGTAGGAGCTGAGTAAGGAGCATGAGGATTCACCCCAGGTAGGAGCTGGGTTTCATGGCTCATGATCCTATTTCTGCCTGTGGATCTCAGGGGATGTCACTTTCCTCATCTCCAACTAGAGGCTTAGATCTCTAGGGTCTCTATACTCTAATTTTTTTGAGGCATTCATGATGTATGCGTCTAAGCCATAAACATTTATGATTGTAATCGCTGAGATTTACTGTGTTCTCATTGTCTCATGCCCAAGACCGAGCACTTTCTTTGCATTATCTCCTGTAGTTGTCACAGGACCCCCTTTGGTAAGAAGATTCCCACTGGACAGGTGAGGAGACTGAGGCCCGGAGCGATTCAGTGACTTGCCTATGGTCGGGCACCCAGTGGAGGAAGCTGCACCCAGGCCTGTAGAACCCCAAAGTCTGTCATCCAAACCTCTGTCCTAGCTGCTTCCCAACCAGTGTCACTAGGGCTGGAACAAGAAGCAATGTGCCCGGCATGTACTGGGCCCTACTCTGGGGACAGATGCTCTGAGAGGCTGTCATGGGCCTGGAAGCCAGTCTCTGCTTGTAGGTGCCCCTTTCCTCCGCCCTCCCTCTGGCACTGGAGGAGCTGAGGCTACCTTCACATTTTGCAAGTGAGCACAGATGCCCAGGAAGGGTACACAGTAAATGACAGCAAGGCTAGTGACTTGCCCAAGGCCATGCAGTCAGCTAGTGCCTCAATTGGGATTCACCCCATCTCCTGACTTCCAGGCCACACTCTTTCTCCTGCAGCCAGTGTTTGTAGGAAAGACATTTTTCAGAGGCTCAGGGACACCTGGGCATTGACTCGGGAAGCCACCGCCCCCCCCCCCCAGCCCTGTCACTATCCCACCTGCAGAGCAGACTACCAGTTAAATCTCTATTTAGAGGAAATTGATGCTAAAATCACATCTTCCTTTACGCTGAACCCACTGCCCCAGGGTTGGGAGGCAGCGAAAACAAGTGAATGACTTGGCGCTTAGCCAAGCGAAAAGGAAGGTGGCTCAAAGTCAGACGCCGTTTCTGAGACCATCGGCGACGCTGCCAGGGCAACTCTGCCTGCTTGTCACCTGGGGCGCCAGAGAGCCCATCGCCCTTGACTGTGCTGAGCATGGGGAGGAGGCAGGGACAGGTCTTTCTGGCAGCTGAGGGTGAGCACAGGACTGGCTTCAGCCAGCTGCTCAACCAGTATTTGTTGAGCGCTCATTGTGTACCAGATGCTGGGGAACTCGAGTGGTGATGAGCAAAACGTAGCCGCTGCCCTCCTGGCGGGGAAGGTCTGGTGGGTGTGTCCAGACCTGAACCAAGAGTCCTATAGGCGCACGCTAGAGCGGAGCTGAGTGCGGTCCTATCTCGGCTTGGGGACAGTTATCAAGAGAAGAGGACAAGGACATGCCTGAGTTCATCCTGAATTGTGAAGGTTGGCAGGAGAAAGATGGTAGTTACCAAAGCAGTGGTTACTTCTCAGGCCTCATCCTCGACATCCATGTGACATGTGACAGGGGTGGCCTCTTTGAGTTTTCTCCTCCTTTAGTTCCTAAGGAACCACTCCCTACCCCCCACTGGCCTCCTCTCTCCCTAAAGGCTCCTGCTCAGGTTCCCGTTGTGGATGCCTCTGGGGCGCCCCCTCAGGGCTCTCTTCTCTTTCTGGGAATGTTCCTTCTGAGATCTCATCTGTTCACCCTCATGTCTCCTCTGTCCTTGCATCTCAACCCCCTTCCCTGCAGGCCAGGCCTCTCCCGAGCATCAGAAACATGCTCACTGTGACACCTGCATGACATCTCAGACCTCAGCATCTCCTCAACTGGTACAGTTAAAAGGGCAATCTGGACCCCACGTCACCTCCTGCCACTTACTAGCTGGGTGATTTCAGAGGAGCTGCTGAAGGCCCTGGAAGCTCAGAGGAACGAGGCCAGGTCACCGGCTTCACCAGGAGTGGCAAGGGCTAAGGGAAATAGTGTTGCATGATGCCTAGCACAGTGCCCAGCACAAACTAGACACCCGGTGGGCACAGGGCCCTCTGCCTCCTCCCTTCCCCAGTTGTTGCCTGGTGAATGGCTCTACCGCACTGCCGGACACTCGGCCCCAAATCTAGGTCACCCTTTGCTCCTCCTTCTCCTTCATCATCTGTGTCTATTTGTTCTCCAAACCATGTCAATTGTGACTCGTAATATCCCTTGAATTTATTCCCTACCTACATCCCTTCTGCCCTAAACGCAGGCCCTTCTGACTGATCTTCTGCTTCCAGAGAATTACCTCTGGAAATACCTTTGGTGGAGCCCATTTTCTGCCTGTACCGTATAGTCCACATTCCTTGCCCAGACATGCAGGGCACGTTCCAGGCTGGCTCACTCACTTTCCAGAGACGCTCCTGCCACCTCCCCCCCCCCCCCCAACGCGTCCAGGCCCTGTGCCTTTGGACAGCTGTTGGAAATGCCTGGATTGGCCCCACACTCTGTCACTTTTGCAGATGATCTTAGGTTGTGATCCCTGCATCCTCCCCTCTGTGGGCTGGGCCCTGCCTCCCCTGTGCTTCTGCCCCCATCATCACTGACTTCTGTTAGGACATCCTCATAGCACATGGCACAGGCATCCCGTGTCCTTGGCCGAAGTTCTGTCCCTTCCCCAGTGGAAGCCTCCTTATCTGCCTCCTGTTGGTGTCCCCAGCACAGC